AAGGCCCCACATATTTTATCATATCTTTTTCAGCGATGTTACAAATGATGCTCTTCTCTTCCCTCGCCTTTTGAGAACATCGGTCACTTTGGGTTGAGAAGCTGAAGCTGCTTGGCAATGCAGTACACCCTAATAGGAGCTATTTAGGTGATAACTTAAGGAGCATCTTGGGTATTTATAATCTGAATCAGTACGAATAGAATGCTCTGTGGTTTTAATAATTCGATCAACATCTCTAGTGAGTAAAATCATTGCCAGTTCTTTACAAATTGCACAACCTACTGTAGGTCACATCGGGTGAGAGCCACTGTTTTCTTTCGCTGCTGTTCTCTTACAAAGTTCTTGAGGCCTTCATAGTTTTACTCATTTTGTGACTTCTTAAAGCATTTGGCCGTACTGGAGTTTATCAAGGGGTATCAGGGTGAAATAAGCCACACTTTACAGGTCTTATGTGTTTGTAAAAGAACAAAACCTAACAGAGTTTAGGGAATATGTATTCTCTGACAAAGTACAGAAGCTGTCGTTTGTTTAGAAGCGTATGTTTGTGTAACACAGGCGCGCTGGAAGCTGTTTCAAGCGAGGGGGGCTGATGGCTGGGTTGGAAAACACATGACGTCATTATGTTGAGGGCTGTGGCTGACGTTTTTAACATAATATTGTAGGCCTACATTTGTCGCCAAAAACTGCCATTTCAAATGCTTCGGAACAAAGCATTAACATTTTAAACTTTATTTCTTCTCTTTTAATCATTCTAAACAAACAACAGCTCCCAATCAACAGGATCAGGAATACTTGAATGAAACACGGCCTAAATATAACCTAAACTGAGCAATGAACGTCTTGAAAGTCCATTCGACTATGGATATGGGGAATGATTTCATATCTGAAACAAAAAACACACACAAAAAAAATAACATATTTTATCACTAAATAGCTTAATACAGACATAATATTTAGTGATATGCAGCCTTATTCTAGCGTAGACTTCTTCAGTCACAGGACTACGACGAATAGGCACAGCATATAGAAATAAATAAGAAATAAATAACGCTAAATAAATGCAGTATAGGGGAATTGAAACCATTTCTTACCTCGAAATAGTCAGAAATACGTTTCTGCTGCCTATTGCTAGCCATATCTAAACGAATGTGAGGTGGCGGAAGCTTCCGGGGGAGTAGCCTAGTTTTTTATGAAATATTAAAATAATGAATCATTAGTTTATATCTTATACACAGCCCATCATTTTAATCCCATATCAAACACAGTCTTTTAAAAAATAAATTCATAAATAATTTCATGTTTTTAAGTACAATATTATGTTACTCCACAGCCCCCCACCATGGGGGGCTGAGGCTATGACGAGGGAGGCTGCAGCCCCCGCAGCACCCCCCTTCCCGTGCCACTGGTGTAACATGTTTTATTCATCTGTATGTGTCCAGCATGGCCCGACCAATCAACACTATGCCCGGGGTTCGCCTGTTGTTAGCAAACACGAAGCAGCGGGCACGGGCCAACTCTTAAGGAAATACAACATAAGCAGGAAATAATTATATCAGTAAATAAACAAAAGGCTTATTCTTAGAGTACCGCTTATTATTCAGAAGGCATTTATGGGGCCTGTTTATATTTCTTTGTTTTTTTTTTTTAAAAGCTTCTGCGTTTTTTGAGTTTGGTGTCCCACATTTCAGGAAAGCAGTTTGACAAGAGCGTGCATGAATGAAAGGAGAGAAAAAGAGAGGAAAAGGGGGTGGGTGAGGGAGAGGGGAATTGTGTCCTCTCATTGTTCAATTAAGCCTGTCAGTAATGATCAAGATGAGATGATGGCCATCTTCCTTTTATAGATGCTAATCAGGGACTGATGAAGTAAAGGAACCCCCCCCCCCACTCCTCGCAGCCGTGTCGATAGACTGTAAAATGTGTATCAAAGGTTTTTGGTGTTATTGTGCTGCACGTGATTTATTGTAATAGAGGCCACTTCCCACTGTCAGGTGATTACGTTAATGTATAGACCGTGGTTGCAAAGTTCACAGCAAAGCACTCAGACTGGCATTGAGGTCTAATCAATTTCATTGCCATTACTGAACAGGAATAAATAAAGCTGATGGCTGTGGTTAAGGTAATTATGCTACAGCACAGTGGATTGTTTGATTTTCCTTATTAATTGTATTTATTTAATCCATTTCATGCTTTTAGTTGTGCACTCAGGGAGTTGGAAGGAATGAATAAATCACTCTTAGGCTCATTAGATTCCCCCTCTGGTTGGGATGCTGCGACTGTTTTGTCAGAATCAAATAGGCGAGTGTTATAATTTCCCGCCGGTGTGATTCACATGAAAAATTTCCAGATATTCATCTACCAGCGTGCTCAAACACACAAAGACTCCACACCCACACGCACAGTCGTCTGCTCCCCATCTGAACTCCTGACCTTTTCCAGTCGTCTGATGGCCATTGACATTTGCCTCTTGAGCGGAGCTTGCTCACGTTTCGGAGCTGATGGGAATGGATGATGTTGTTGCTGGAGGAGAAAAGGGAGGGAAAGAGAAATGTCGGGGAGGGGGGGGCTAGATGAAAAGAGGTGAGAGCTCCTCGTGCCGGCCCTGGAATCCATCTGGACCCCCTGCTCTCCAAAAAGGTCACAGGGCGCCTGAGCCTTACATCCGCCTTACAAAGAAGCCATCGCTGCGACCGGAGTCTGTTCAGCTGCAATATGGCTCTACTGCTCTGTCACACATCCTGCCACTCACCCTCACTGTCTGCACACATCAGACGGCAGACATGTAGAGTGGCAGTGGGATGGATGCATTGTTAAAAAGTGTGGCGTCTTTGTCCTTGAAGACAGTAGATGGAGTAGAGGGCTGCACCTGGTTGGATGCTTTCTCCAACTCAAAGGAGGGAAGGAAGCTCATCTTCTGTACCAAGGGAGCCTTCTTGTGGCTGAAACAGGCAGGACAGCAGCAGCTCTCACTGAGGAGGGGGCACACTTGTCTGTTTAAATCATGCAAAAATGGATAAATATGGTCTCTGTACCTGGTTTTATTTTCTTGGAAGTCATTGAAGAGCCAAGTTCATCTCAATCTGTTTGATTTTGGTCAGCTTTTATACTTTGTGTAATCTCATCTACAAATAAGTTATTAGACCAGATTTACATGGTAAAAAAAAAAAAATACTTTTTTTCAAGTTTATTAAAAATTTAGGAAACATATTTCTTGTCTTTTAAGCATCCTATATTAGCAAAGTTATCTTTTATTGGGAATTACTGTGCTAATGCAGGTAACTTAATAAAAGCAGCATCCTAAAAGATGTTGATTATCCTAACAGTGTCATTTCTAAAGGCTGGCAACAATTCAAAGTCCAGTGTGGGCTTTTTCCTGCATGTAATTGATCATAGCGAACTGCCACAGCAAAATAAAAGCCACCACACTTTAATTTTAAAAAGTATATTAAAACAGGGGAAAGCATATGATATAGCATACTGTAGTTGTGCACACTTGTTTGAGTCATAATCAGAGCTATCATGAAGTGTTACTATTTATTTTTAAAAATCTAACACCACCAGCTCCTGTCTGTTTCCCTGCGAAGGTGGCGAGTGTTTGAAGCTTGCTGGCGGCTACAGTGAGGTGAACCCTTATGTAGTGAAAAAGCAACTAGAGAAAGTAGTCCTATGTTGCCAACATAGCCACTTTGTCTGACTTTAACTTTTCAGACCCCTCTAGCAATCTTCCCCCCCCCCCCCCCCCCCCAAAAAAAAACAAGTAGAGACAAATCTAGTGACTTTTCTCTCTGCTTTTGGCAAGTTTAGAGACTTCATGTGAAAGCAGCAATGGTTCTATTGTTATTGTCCCACGACAGCAGTAAGAGCAGCCATTAGTCTCTCCCCACTTTCCTAAGCACTGTCTCACAGGCACAGACAGCTGCCTTAGTTCTCCTGTTATAAATGTATAACGCATGCGCAAAGCTGCAAATGATTTCGCCTCAGATTACAAAGCACAATGTAAATATGATGTGAATAAAGTTTTAATCTATTCTCTTTTTTTCTCAGGAACTGTTGCTCTAAAATAATTTCCTGATTTCGGCACACCTTGAATCACATATTAATCTTATATGTTCGCCTCTGATTAGATACATGCGATACAGATTCAGGCAATGTATAAAAATTCATACATAAAGCAAGCTTAACATATGTTGCATTTCAACTACACTATATTAGGAAAACCTGACTTAACTGATATTTTTTTAAATATTGCTGTGACGATACAGATTGTCATTCCTTTAAACTTTTTTCACTTAAAAACATTAATTCTCTCTAAGCCTCATATTTTGATGATTATGATCTACTTATTTTGCAGTGTTACTTCACTGCAAATAAAACAAGCCTACTATAGTATAGAAGGAGTCATATGTAACTAAACAAAATTCACATTTCGGTTGCAGAGATAATTCAGATTTTATGTGGTAGAATCTACTTCATCTAACAAGATAATAAATATCTGATAACTGGATGATAGGATCGCTTGACGTGCTTCTGAAAATAATAAAGTTTTAACTATTTTCACTCTCCTCTTGTTTAGTAACTGTTCTTAAGTCACACATCCTTCATATTAATAATGAAGTGATGTGCTTCTAATCACTTACAATGCTTCATGCTTTCCTTACTAATATGTTTTCTGCTAAAACCCATCAGCTAAAGACTAAAACCCGGGGCTGTTAAATACAGCGAGAAGTAAAAGATGAGCTCTCGTAAAGGTTCTGTTCATTTTAAATGAATTTATAGATTCAATCGATGAAATTTTCTCCTTTTACTGTCTTGCCAGACTCTGAAGCTGCAGATTTTTATAGCACAGGCTTGAACTTTAATAATGACAGCCATATTTCAGCAAGTTCAGCCTGCAATTTGCAGCAGGGGGAACAGTAAGAGATGCTTTTTTATGTGTGTCAAACTCTTGTAGTTTCAGTTAAAAAGGTGTGTTTAGTAATGTATGTCGTGTCTGTCCTCTGCAGTGCTCAGTATCCGCGGCGCCCAGGAGGAGGAGCCTCCAGATCCACAGCTGATGCGACTGGACAATATGCTTCTGGCAGAGGGCGTGGCCGGACCAGAGAAAGGCGGCGGGTCTGCAGCCGCTGCTGCCGCCGCGGCAGCCACTGGTGGCGTCGGTGCAGACAACTCGGCAGAACACTCCGACTACCGAGCCAAGCTGTCTCAGATCCGACAAATCTACCACACAGAGCTGGAGAAGTACGAACAGGTGGGAAATAGTCTTTATTGACCCGGTGACCTTAAATCCAATAACACTTCTCTGATCCAGCATCTTCACCGACTTCATTTTTATTTACACTGTTTTCTTTTGAAATACAGTGCTACATACAGCATGTAGACACTAAGCTTAAGTAATTTTCAATGCCCTGAAAGAAGGGAGTTACAGTAATATAATTGTGAAGTGAGAAGTGCATTAATGAGAATGGTTGGGCAGGTGGGTGTGAGAGATGGATGGAGACAGTTGATCATTTCGTGGTGGAAATATGCTGCAGAGTAATATTGTTAACATGAGATTCAAAAGATGGAGTGCAATCAAGGATGACCCAAGACTTTTAGGCTGGGGGGATGGAAAAAGTGAGGAATCATAATTGATCCTTATTGGTCTTTGTGTCAACAAGGAGACATTTAGCTTTGTTTGTTTTGTTTTTTAAGTTAAGGAAGGTTTGATCAAACCATAATGTCACAGTATGGTGGCATAGTGGTACAGTGGCCAACTGGTGCAAACATGCAGAAAACAACAGATCATGCTGCAAACAAACAATTGGTTCAAACTTAAAAAGCTCACAAAATGAGAAAAAAATCAAACACCAAACATACACATATATATGCTAAAAAAGAAAGATGCAAAAGAAAACTTGCTTTACAGAACAGAAGAGCCCCAGACCACTGGAGGAGTCCACCACCACCTCATATGGGGCATTTTCTGTATAAATATTCTGCTGTTCTACAATTTGAAAGATTACATCTACGAATGAAAGGAAGGAAAACTTCCTTTTTTTGCTCCTTCCGGCTTTTCTCTGGACATAAAGCTATTACATCTTTACTGAGTGTCTGATCCCATATAACTTAGTGAGAATATAACTCACCAAGTTTTACTGAAGCTCATAGAAATCATGCTGCATTCCATCAATAGTGAACGAGATGATAAAGGAGTTAAGAAACTTTCACCGACTACAGCTGCAATAAAAGACGTTCTAATGAGGCCTTTTAAATACCTTTATATATGTGGTGAGTGACTGTTGTGGTGGGCAAACTAGGTCTTCCCTCTTTATCTGTTGCAAGCTGAGACAAAAGTCTAATCTTCAAATCTAAATAGAAATAAGTTCACATAAACAATGGCTGCACTGTGGAGCTCATTCTCTCTGTATAACAGTGTGACGCTTTTCAAATGAGAACTCACAGGACAACTCATGACATGCCAAGCTTTTAGCAACGCTATCTTTAGCAGGCAAGCAGCCATTATATCAGTCACACACCAGCTCTCCTCCAAAGACTGTAACGTATTGTCATTCCCTCGGAAGTCAAAGCGTTTCTGGGTTTGTCATCTTCTCAGAGGAAGGCTAGTCATCGCTAACTGTCACAGTCGATATACACCTGAGCATTTTTGTGTCACCGTGCTATGTACGCCCTGCATTGGGATGAGTGAGTAGTGTCTTTCCACGTGTGTGTGCAAGCAGAACGGCTGCTCGCCGGATCACTTTGACTGACGTAACCCTGGTGTTGACAAGCAACAGACACCTTGACTCTGAATGCAGTCATATCCAGTGACTGATTCCGACACAGACAGAGGTAGACGGAAAGATGGAGTGAGAAGAGAGGGAGACAGCTTAAAACTCTTGAACGTGAACGGGACTGAAAGCCTGCTGTCATTTTACATTTCTGCTCACTTGTCACATTTTCTCTTCCATTGAAGAGAAGTCTTTTTAATATGCAGAGCACCGCGAGTATCACTGCCTCCGCTGTATGACTCCACTGCCACATTTGTTTGCCTTGAAACATGGCGCTGTGTCTGCCGCTTTAATTTAGACCATTCTTATTACCTCTAACACCACTGCTGTTTCACTGTCAGTGCTTCTCGTGTGAATTCAGGGCCGGTTGGGCAACCACGCAGCTTCTTCAGAATCCAATTTCACCCCTTTGTTCTGTGTGAAGCTGTCGAGCCTCTGAGATAGTTATTTCTCTTATGAATCCTGTCTGTCTGTTCATTCAGGCGTGCAATGAGTTCACCACCCATGTGATGAACCTGCTGAGGGAGCAGTCTCGAACACGACCCATCTCGCCCAAAGAGATTGAGCGCATGGTCAGCATCATCCACCGCAAATTCAGCTCCATCCAGATGCAGCTGAAGCAGAGCACTTGTGAGGCCGTCATGATCCTGCGCTCTCGCTTTCTGGACGCCAGGTCTGTGTGAATCACCATCATTTTAGAGCAGACTTGCTAGGAACTAATGAAATATGTATTTTTAGTAGTTTAATCGGTTAATTTTTATTTATTTCTGTGCTTACATTTTTGTCTGAATCAAGAATTTTTTTTTTCCCTTTTTACTGATATATATTTAGTTATTCAAAATCAGCTTTTCAGTGCAAAATCAGTGCCAGTTCATCTCAAACTAGAACTGTTCAGTCTTTATGTTGCATAAAGTCAATTTCAGATGGAGTAATAGATGTGATAATAATCCAAGAAAGGAAAAACAATGAAATGCAGAAAAACTGAGCAAGAGTACTTTCTCAGGGAAAGAAAAAAAAAGGGCGAATACAATCAAAGAAAAAAAAAAATCACAGGGAAAAGCTACTTGAACCAAATTAAATTATCTGACTGGAAAGAATCTTGGCTTATTGAGAGGCACTGAACCAGGGGTACTATCTATTGTAAAAGCAGAACATAGGACACAAATTCATGTTGCAGCAATAGTATTGTAATATAATATTATTGCAACAGCTGTTTAAATAAAGATTAAAGAGATGCCAGCCTTTATTCATTGTGAAACTGAAAAAAATCCAAGAGAAATGAATAGCTAAAAAAATTATTATTATGCTTTTTATCTTACAGACGAAAGAGGAGAAACTTCAACAAACAGGCCACAGAGATCCTGAACGAGTACTTTTACTCCCACCTCAGTAACCCCTACCCAAGTGAGGAGGCCAAAGAAGAGCTGGCCAAGAAGTGTGGCATCACTGTGTCACAGGTAATCAGATAGATCTGATCTATGCTCCCCAGGCATCCTGAGGAATGTTGGATTTAAAGTAGTTTTCTTCCATGTAGGAATCATAACGGTTTACTGGGCTACTGTCTGTTTCAAACTTGCCAGTTTCAGGAACATTTCCTAAAGCTTGTAACAAATGTTATCTTCTTGCCAATTTAACTGTTACTTCTGAAAGTCTATTTAGGTCATCATCTTCACAGTCTATTTAATTCATATGTACAATGTTTATATACAGTAGATATATGTATTTCTTAGTGTCACTCCTAGTGCTTTTCTCAGCCTCACCATAGATCTAAAGAACCTCTTTACCCTCAGTCTTGGACATCGATCAGATTGTGGGGAAAAAAGCAATTCAGATAGAAAAAGAAATCCAAAAACATCCAAAATCTCTTGGAATTATTGCTATAACATACAGAGGTTATGAGTAGTTTAATAAAAAAAACCTTTAGTCTATATTTTTAGGATCCCCGTTATTTAGAAGTATTTGTTTTTTTTTAATCTAATGTAGCTTCTTTACATTCACTTATTGTGTCATTTAGTTTAGTTCGGAAGTAGTTTTAGTATGAAATTTTAATGTGATTTTATTATTTCCACATCCTCTTGTTATAATAATAATAATTATTATTATTATTGCTGTACTGAAAATAATAGCTAAATATTTCCTACTTTTAGCTCTAAAGATAATGACAACCCTGGCTGCGTTTTCAGTTAACATTGTCCTTTAAACGTCAAATGTAGCAATGCTTTGAAGGCCATTTTGTAGGTATAAAACTCGATATTTGCTATTCCTATCCCATCTACAGGATTGATGTAGAGTTGTTCTACAAATAATTAGGCAAGCAGTTATGTAGTTATGCTAAGTTGGTGACTGTAACCTCTGGGATACTCAAAAGAAGCATAACTAAATCTTAATTGTAAAACTGATGTTTCTTCTTTCATTAACCCCTGTCCACTGGTGTAACAGGTATCAAACTGGTTTGGAAATAAGAGAATTCGATACAAGAAAAACATCGGCAAGTTCCAAGAAGAGGCCAACATGTACGCAGCCAGGACCGCCGTCAATGCAACCAGTGTGTCGGCTCATGGCAGTCAGGCCAACTCCCCGTCAACCCCCAACTCAGCAGGTAAGCTTCAGTGTCATGTTTTACAAGATTTATTGTTTAAAAAAAAGCCACAGCTAAATAATTCAGCTTCTGGTTGAGTTTTCTCTTGACACACAGAAGCTCTCCTCTCCTTAACTAACCAAGAGATTTGCCTTGGCTTTCTCGCCTGTAATTTCAACGCTTCTCGTTTCTTCTCCGCCTTTACACTCTGTCTCCCTCTCTGCGTTATTGACCTCTTGGTTCTTGTGGACGTTAATTTTTTCCTGCCTCTTGTCCGGTTGACCTCATGTATGCCATTAAGCCGCTCGGAGGGCAAGCGGAGTCTTTTGTCATATAGAGACTATGCAACTGTATTGGATTAGTACCGGGCGTTGAAATCAAGTTACCTGATGCTCTCTTTACATCTGGGGAGCTGGGGTCCATTAAAGAACGAAGAAGATTCTTTTGGTCTTCCTGCGCATCAATTATTACTTCCTTAATGAAACACTAGCAGCATAGACATTTAACAGTAATATAATCTAGAAGCCTTGTTTTAACTTAAACAGTTTAGCAATGACGATCTGTCTCATTGTTGTTGTTGGGGGATGTTTTTCTTTACCTACTGACCTACAGCGCCTGTCATGTGCAATTTTGTTGAAAAATAAATATCTTAGTCGTGTAACAGCTTCAGTCTGTTTTAGCCCTTTTCATCAAAACTAAATGCAGTTTTCAATTATTATTCCGTTATTGAGGGTATAAAAAAGGCATCCAAACTAAAATGGCTTTTTTTTCAACTAGGTTTTTTATTATTTATTACATTTGATTAACATCATTGAGTTTAATTTCTTTCCTGATTACTGCTAGACCGGTAGATTTAGGAAATCACTTAAATGTAACTTATCTGGCAACATTAAGTAGGCTAAAGGATATCAAAAGATATGCTGCAGAAGGGCTAAGCACCTAACACTAACCCCTGGCTAAAAAGATAACATGGTAATGTGATAATAGGGGTTGCTTTACAACCTAAACGACTTGGTGTAGACCTAAAGTACACCAGCAAGTCCAAAAAAAATACAAAATAGACAGACTTTGGAGCGGCCTAGTCAAAGTCTGGGGTCAATGATGCTTGACAATATTATAATGAGGTTTAATAAAAAGAAATACAAAGAAGAGTGGGGAAAATATGTCCTTCCATTTATGTAAAATATTTGTTTAAAGCTGTCATAAACACTTGGCAGTAGGTGTTGCTGGCTTATATGCCAAAATCTTTCTTTTAGTTTATGCAGCAATTGCTTTTTTACGTAGGGCAAGGCTCAATTAGATCCCTTTAATGGATGAAATAACAATTGGAAGCTGTTCTTTTTTCATGTGTTTACCTTTGTCTGGTATTAAACATTTTTAATAAACTAAAACCTTCATAAGCGACAGAAACTGTCAAATAACACCGTAAAGTTTTAGCAAGCACTGCACGACCCTCTCAGACTAACCAATTTAATGCTGTTTTGCTTCAGCATGTTCATTTTAACTCCTTCCTCTCTGCCTTTCTTACCTTTTTTTCTTGTTCTTTCTGTCTTCTTCTGCACCTCTCTGTATTCTCAGGTTCTGCTGGCTCTTTTAACATGTCAAACTCCGGAGACTTGTTCATGAGTGTGCAGTCCCTCAATGGGGACTCGTACCAAGGGGGGCAAGTTGGGGCCAACATACAGTCCCAGGTAGGCACATTTCTGAGACTTGAAGCAGTCGCTGACCAGTCTGGGAGTGCCCAGCTTGACCTTCACGCTGAAACTGAGGTTACCCTTAGCCCCCAGCAGTGCATTAATGTAGATAGCAGCATTGTCAAGCAGCTGAATAGACGACGGCAGACAGTTTTGGAAACGTTGCAGCACTCATCAGCAGTCGTGACATGGGTTCACATCGCCACTGGTGCACTGTGGTTTGTGACCTTGCCCCAGTGGACAGTTATGACCACTACAGTGTTACAACTTTCACAACGGATTAAGAAATCAGCACCCATGCTGGTATCTTTTGGTAGTTTGGATGCTTTTAGCATTCTTTGCACCACTTCTTTTCAGTTTTGATCAGTTCTACAAATGCTTGAGGTCACTCATGAATATGCGAAGGGGACAGGCCTTTTAATGAGATAAAGATGTCTTCTAGCTTTGGCTTTATTTGAAAGTTAGGCTTGCAATAATTGTGTTATGTATTGAAGATAGAAGTCTAAATTTGTCTTTGGTGGAATTCAAGTTTTTTTCTTGTTTAAACCATCTGATTTAACATAAAAGCTTTAATAAAATAACCAGCAGCTTTTATCATCTTAAACAAATTTAGAGCTGTTTATAATTCCTATTTAGCGCAGCTGTTATGGTGTCCCTTTGGCTGAGATGTTTAACAAAAAAAACGTTTCTATATTAGAACTATGAACATAAAATATTAAACTTTCATTTGAAAACATATTTTCAGTAGAAAGCTAAGGAATAAAGGTTGTTTAATAGGTAATAAATGTCTAAATTACTATAAAGTAGATGTAACTGTGGCAGTTTTTTCAAATTTGTGCTCAAGAAATTGGTTATGATAAGATATGAGAAACTGGTTATGCCACCCCACTCAGAGAGGACGAGATCAGGGTGGAAAGAAAAAAATCTGATTTTCTTATTCTTTAATAATTATTAATAATTCTTTAATCCAATCAATGAGATTTTCATCTCTGACATTCCAGAGATATACTTTTTGACAAAAGCTTACAAATGCTGAGATTAATTTCACATATTTTTGGAAGAGAATTGGAAATCTATCTGATTTCAAAAAGTAATATAATCAGAAATTTCCAATATAAAAAAGATTTTGACATTTAAACTTATATATTTTCTGACATTTAAAAGTCTGAAATTTGCACAGAAAAAAAATAATTGGTAAATTTATCAGAAAAAAGGCAGAAATTTGCTGTATTGTATGTATGCATTGCACATGGTTTGAGTTGAGTTGTAGTTGTGTTCAGTAATAAAAAACGATTCCTCCTGGTTCAAACAAGTGTCCTTCCACATTTACTATTTGCAGTAGGTCAGCAGCTACTTACTACATGTACGAGAACTACTAAGCAAGTCCTTCTCATACAGAAAGAGCCCGTATGAAAGCTACCACTTAGACTAAAAGGACTTTTGGCATTTTGTCGCAAGTATCTGATTTCAAATCTTAGCAAACATCTTAGTTTAAATGTCTAAAAATGTTTCTTGTAATCCTAGAAATCTCTGAGCTTATGTTTGTCAATTTTACGACATTTGAAGAATTTTCTTGAAGAGATTTTCTTCTTTTTCCCGGGATAATATGTGAAATCAATCTCAGATTTCTGAGAGTCGTAGGGATCTGTCAAAACACTGAACGACCAGTCTGCTGCACAACATGGGGCTTACATATTTCATCTATTTTTAGTGACTAATACTGAACACATGTAAGGATTTTCATTTTAGCCTTCATAGATCTAGGAGAAATACAAACTTTTGATCATAGTTCTGCAATGAAATGAGCATTAGTCAAAGTTCTGCTGACCAATTTTCACTTTCAGCCAACCTTAACATATTTCAATTTTTTTGGTAAGAGAATAGTTGAACCTGAATTTGTGACACTGAGACTTTAAGGCTTTGGTTGCAGCACTTTAGGTTACATTGTTTTATCTGAGACCTAAAAACCGGATTCATATTACATACTGGTAAACCAAGATTATTCATTTTCTCAATAAAAAAATAATACTGACAGTTCTGATGGATGACTTCAGAGATAGTGAACAAAACTTACAAGAATCTGCAGCAAGATTTCAGATCTCGATGACTTATTAACCAACAGCAAGAAATGCTTTGATATTTTGTTTCTTTTTATCATTTTGTCCTTTCGCTTCTTCTATTAAAGAGCTTGTATTAGCTGCAAGATCCTTCAGATTTATTGTTTGTAACCTTTTCCTGTTTATGATAGCCTTTTATTATCAGAGTGATCTTTCCTTGCACATCGCTGTCTTTGTTGTACAGAGCTTTTGTCTGACCAAGGTCTTTTGTCTGTGTCCCCTGCTGTTCCAGGTGGATACCCTTCGCCATGTTATCAGCCAGACCGGAGGATACAGTGACAGCCTTGCAGCCAGCCAGATGTACAGTCCGCAGGGCATCAACGTAAGACCTGTAAACAATCTCCCTCTGTTCTTCCTGACATACCCTATGCTGTTCTATTCACTTTTCTGCAGTGATTTGGGGCAGGATGCATGATAGTTTAAATCAAAGTGCATATCGTAATTGACATGTAGTTTATCATATTAAACTTGCGTCCGGAAAAAATACCTATAGATAATGTAATATGTTGCTGAATCTGAAGCTATCTTCTTATTCAACCAATCAAAAGTCAGAACCAGCAGCTGATCTCCACTTTCCGGACTACGGTCAGGGTTGCACTAAACGGGATGCTCAGCACTGGAGGCTGCGTGTTAGCGTGCAGATCCACGGTGACAGGCTGCACGAGGGTTGAGCAGAATCGATACGACAGTCACAGGGACAGAAAGAGCGGGGCTTTGGGCAAACAGTCCATGCACATTGACCAGATCAGTCATCCACAGGAACAGCAGCACTGACAGCCAAGCCTCTGACATGCCTCCTGCTAAAACAGGAAGTGCCAATTCATTCAACTTGGTGCCAAAACGCAACAGGCTAGATGCTTTTGCTTTCAGATATAAAACAAGATGGGAGTCATGGAGGATAAACTGAGAATATCTTCATGCCAAAATCTAAAACCATAGATTTGAAGTTTCACTGTATAACAGCTAGATAAATCAGTGTCAGTGTATCTAAACAATGATTTTCTACTTAAAAAGGTGTCCAAGCTGTCTTTCTTGCAAAAGTAAAAAATGTAATTTTAGTGATTTAGGCCAATGAGGGAGGAGCCTTTAACTCAAATTTAAAAAGTGCCATATATATATATATATATATATATATATATATATATATATATATATATATATATATATATATATATATATATATATATATATATCCCACATCAGCACGTAAGACCTGAAAGAAAACCAGAAATCCTGTTTGGGTCAAGAGAAGTCTAATACAAAAAGGCAAGTTTAGATTAAAACCAAAAATCGAAAAACAGTTTAAGCTAAAATTGCTTGCATAGTTCGTTTGAATGAGGTTTTTTATATTTATAGAGCCCAAATGATGTCATTTTGCTCTGTACAATTTACTGACTGAGCTCTCGTGGCTCACCTCTCTCTCTTTATCCTTGAACAGCAATTATACCCCCTTAAATTGCTGGTGGGTGTCGCCTCACTCGTAGACTGGAAATGTGTTTTTTTTATTCTTTTTCCTCTCTGAATGAGATGACAGACGGTCTTTACGCAAAATAACAGGGTTTGGAAATAAGAGGCTGCCAAAGCACATTCCCAGCACTCACTAATAGCGTGGAAATTGCAATTAATGTCCTAAATGGTCCTTAGTCGACCTTTTATCGCGATTTGAGACGGCTTCCATTTTTGAAGAGCTGCATTTTATTGTGATAATTTATTCTTTTATCAAGCATCTCAGGGGTATATTCTAGACACATGAAAGCTCTGTGTATTCTGTGTTTCATCTCCTCTGTTTATTTCACATTAAGTCAGTCGTGTGAAGAGGAAAGTGAGAGAAGTGGCACAAAAATGATTTTTAAAGCTTCTTAGCATTTCAGTGATCTGCTTTAGACAAAGTATTTCATGCTTACATAAAAGTTAAGGATTTACCTTTTGTAAATCCTGACAACAAAACACAATCTACTGAATCTGATGGGATTTTGTTTTGTATATTCCTAAAAAATGCAGGTTTATCTGTAGAAGGTTTTCAAAGGGTTAGGAATCCATAATCATACCTTGTCACATTTAAACCTTAAAAAAAAAAAAAAAAAAACAGAAACCCAGTTTGATCAGCTGACATCACTAATACGCGAGTGGTTGGGGTAAGGAGAGGCAAAGAACGGTGGTGGGTAGGACATTTTGGGATGTTATCTACACAAGCTCTATAAAAACACACTCAATCCTCACTGTCTGGTGTTTTAGGTCAGTTAGGATGGGTCACATTAGCCTGTTTGCTAAATGCCAAAATAATAAGAGAATTCTTATTGTTATATTATAGAAGCTAAATAAACCAATATGAAGAGGGGACATTAAGGAATCTGAGTAGAATCGTGGCACACATGTTAAAGGCAGCAACTCAAACATGCTAGCTTTTGTTGCATTATGAAAAGATAATAATAATATTCACATAGAGTTCAGGGAGCGAAATAGGGTCCTTCAAAGATCAGGTTTATGCTTAAAGGGGCTTATGCATTCTCTGTTTGAACAATTATGTGCAAGTCAAATCAATATGGGATTCTCAATCTATCTACTATTACTTTAAGTCTTTCAGTTTTTGCAGAAAGATGCTAAATATCTTCTGTAATTACGGCAACAAACGACAGCGACAGAAAGCTGTCGTCGCTGCCATCCTGAAACCCACCTCACAGGATAGGACAGTGACGACACAGCTGCAAATCCCGCTCTCGTGTCGCTTGTCTCTTAGAAATATGGATAATTATGAACTTTAAGTGATTTTACGGGTTTTTTTAAGCAGCCCATGACAGACACGAAAACAAGGCTAAAAAGACAGGAGAGGTTTTACCCAAATCAATTGAAATCATACATTTTAAAAACGTCTTAAAAACTGAAATGATGGTTTCCTCTATGTTGAAAATGGTAGCAGAACTCCATCATTCATCGAAATATTTGGTTTGTAGTAGTGCCTTGTCACAGTGAATAAAGTTGAAAGTTTTACAGCTTTCTTTTGTCACGATGCAATCCTATGTGTTTAGTTCTGCATGTACAAGCTCTAAATTTCACATTCTCAAATTGCGCTGGTTGTTTATCTGGGAGAGAGCTAGCAATCGTGTAAGAAATAAATAGAAAGTTAGTGACTTCACCTCCCCGTGAGATCTGTTCTACAATCATCTGTTGGGTAATGACATCAGAGCAACTAAATTAAAGGTGCGAAAGCTAACTTTGTACATTAGCTTAAAGTGTCATTATCTCCTGACAGTAGCATCTTACTGCCTTTTGCGGAAAAACAACACTCCCAGTCAGAAACAACCAATCAGAGACAGGTAATGCAACAGTGTAAATCGTGCTTTTGTTGGTTGCTCAAACCCTCCCCTGTGGGTCAATGTAAAGCATATGACTGTGCTATTATGTAGTTGTATATCTGCCGTCGTCAGTAGCCCTGGTAACTATCCTGCATGTTCGCAACAGGCTCCTCTGAGGTGGAGGAGCTGTGGAGCAAGGGCCATAGCACTGCAGGGAGAAAGGAGAAGGGACCTTTAAGAACTGCTCTTATGTTCATCTTCTCAAAACTCCCTACTGCAGCTTTAATGGAGCTCAAGAAGCTTCAATAAAAAAGTAAAAAAAATGCCATCTCTGTTCTGGGAACATCTCTGGAACCTCTGGAGAGGATTTTACAGAGAAGAAAATTAAGAACATTACAGAAAATCGCAAACAATGTTATACAATAAAAGATTGTCAGAGGCTTCTCTTGATTTGCTACAAGACAGACCACTACAAGAGATCCTTCCTGCCTAAAGACAGCAGCTTCTACAGCAACTCATTGAAGAATCCTCTATAATTTGAGCTATAAACGATTTTCATAACCGTTTGGGAGTTCTAAGGTCTTTATTTATTAACTGAATTCCAGAAGGAGATGGGTTCTGTGTTCAGCAATTTGCATCACTTTGTTTAAAATGTTTGCAGAGCTTGCAAAGAAGCTGGATGAAAGTCATCATAGAGGGTTGTTATTCACAGTTAACTAATTTCTAATGCAACTAGCATGAGAGAACTTAATTTCTGAAGACTTAAGTGTTTTTTTTATGATGGTCATCCCTAGATTTGGAGGAAAAATGGGGAAAGTTGGACGCTTCAGAACACAAACCAAACTGCAAAATATTGAGGGAGCATTATAATTTTACTGCAGGATGGACAGTCTGCAAAATAAATGACACCACAGAGAAAGAAAGTTATATAACATTAGCCAGAAAGTTAATGCAAAGGTCTGACCTACTTAGTTATACCAACAAATTAGATATAAAGTTGCTATAAAGAAGGAAAAAAAAAGTTAGTGTTTCAGAATTTCCATTAAAACACTCTTTAATACCCAGGTAAACACAACATTTGTGGTGAAAACCTATAATCTGCGAGTGAGCAAGGAAATACAATCTTAGACCCAGTTACACCAGATCTATCAGAAGGAATTGGACAAAACGCTAAAAACTATCGTGAGAAGCTTTTGGAGGAATATCCAAAACAAGAAATAGTTTATAAGCATTTACATCAAGTAAACAGATGTATTGTTAATTTCTGAAGGATTGCTTCTCTTCAGGATTAAAATAATGAAAAAAAAGATTTCGCAACTCTTTAATCCTAACTTTTGTTTTTATACAGTATATGCAGCTATATAGTTTTAACTTTAAGTATTTGTAAGTAAAAAAAGCTGCTACTTAATAAAGAATAGTGTTTCCTGTTTTAGATTTGTGTTAATAAAATATTTTAGAGAGTTTGCAGTTGTGTTGATTCCCCTTCCTGCCCCTTTATAGCCTGATCACTGAATAATCAAATATTTATTTTTAATTAAAGGATTTAGCTGTGAAGAGGAATATTTCTGCAGTCTTCTCAACTAATCAACATAGTGCTCCTGTGTGCATAAATTTCACATATGCTATTGCGATTGTAAAAAGACATCTGAGAGAAGGGTGTAAGGAATCTGTCAGGCCTCCCTAACCATTTCAGCCTTGGTCCTGCTGAGTATGTATCAGTGTTTTGGGAACTAATTAGGAAGTCCCATTTAATGCCAAGGTTGAAACTTTCAGAGTTGGCTATCAGAAGCAAGCTTTATCTAATTTTAGCATTTCCAAAGTACTTCATGGTACAGTCAGCCCAAAGGACTGTCTTATGCTGTTGTTGGGTTTGAAGCCTGTAGAGCAGGAGAGGGCTACTCCAGTTCTTGAGGGTCAGTGTCCTGACACTTTTAGATGTGTCCCTGCTCCAACACATCTGAGTCAAATAATGAGATAATTACCAGTACTCATGAGAACCTGGCTCCAATTGTATCGGGCAAATAGCTAAGGACGTTAAGCCAAAGGGGAAGTATTTCAGCAACCATCATGATAAGAGCTGACCAAAAAGTGCTGGTAGTAAGGAAAGAGATAGGAAAAGGAAGCAGCATGCTTTAGTCACCATTAGGACCTTGCAACATTCCAATCCACCACATAGGAGCTATAAGGTTACCCACGATGCTTTGCAGACAGGATGATTTTTACTAAACCACTACATATTATTAAGACATCTATATGTGTGACACGAGCTACTGTACACATCCTCATATGTTTCCAGCTGTTATCTGCATTTGTGTATTTGGAGATTTTTCTATAAGATTGTATTTTGAAATTGACATAATTCAATGTGTGTAATGAAATCCATAAGCTTTAACCGCAGGAGTCAAGATTATCTTTATTACCCAGAATAGTGTTCTTACTGTTGTTCCTGTGAAATCAGAAGAGATGTGAGCTAGGAGCAGCAGGTAGAAGCTACTATTTACTCGATTTGGAAGGATGCCTTTTATTCCGAGGACATAATTCAGCCATTTGATTCAGTTGAAGATACTGGCCCTCAAGGACCGGAGTATTTTATTGCTATTCCTGTGTTCCATTTTAGAGGAAGTCTTTTCAATCTACTTTATTTATTTAGATTCTGCTCTTAATAAGTGTTGCTGAATTTTCCATTTTTAACTATTTCCTTTCAGCTTTGCTTCTAACATGAACAGCCACAACTGCAGAGATGCTGATATACCTGGCACTAGATTATTGCCTTGATAAATGAAAAGAATAATATAAATATTATGAATAGGTACATATATTTGCTTGTATCAGATGGCCCAACGCATTAAACTAAGGTCTGTTTATTTTTATTGGTTTCATCAAGACAGTGATCAGTATGACATCAGAATTTAATCTGCTATTTGCCCACTATGTTAATCATTTATTTTTAAAAGAATATGGAAGGCTGAAAATCTCATGTATTTAATGTCATATTAAAATAAAACCTAGAGGTTGATATTAAAGTTACAAGGTAAAGTTTCACCAGTGTAGATAATTCTTAAACAAACCGATTGTTATATTCACTGACTGCTTTTAAAGGCATTTGTTTAAAGCATATTTAAATTTTGAATAAATAAATTGTTCCTTATATTAAACAGTGATATTATCCAAAGAGAAAACAGAATAGTGAGGGATTTAATGCAGCAGAGTTAATATAAAATAGCTTTTAGACATTGTTATCCCTAAGTGAATTTTTATATTTTTGCAAAATTGTGAGGAATACAGCATGAGCAAATCTTTTAAAGATCCCTCATTAGTTTTATATATGATTTAAACATTTCTGGTAGAGATTCTTTTATTCTTTCAAATATATTCAAATCTGCTTCTATTATTCCTCTCTGTCCATTTACACTAATTTTAAAGCTCTTTTCCTACATGAACATTTGGATTTTGATTGGCAAATCAGCTACCGATCATTTACCTTTTTTTTGTTTAATTATTTTTTCTATCCTTTTTCAGTCTTTGCATTCTACTAACCACAATCCTTCCTTGGTTGGTTGTTTTTCGGAAATATTCTTCGTGGCCTTGTGTTTTCTCTAACTTCTTATTCTGGTTGTATTCACAGACAAACGGCGGCTGGCAAGATGCTCCGACTCCTTCATCAGTGACATCGCCAACAGAAGGACCCGGGAGCGTCCATTCAGATACTTCCAACTGAAAATCTCCATCTCTGCATCTCATCCACGAAAAAAGAAAACAAAACATACTCTGATGTCGCTCCTCACAGTGTTTAAAACCAAGGAATTCACTCGCCCACATTTCGACGAGACCCTGTGAAATCCTTACCCTGAAACAAAAATGTTTCTCAGCTTATGACGTCGGACTTTTGGGATACAAATGAGAAGTTTCACAAGAAAAATCCAATAACATTGCAATCAGCAAAGGGTTTGTACAGCTTTCACATTATAATCCGAGGGCTGGGGTTCCTTATTCATTCACTTGTATTGTTTTCACTCAGTATGATGAGATGATAAAATAAAAGTAGATTACAAAATAAAATCATTGGTTTAACTAAAAATACTTCATTCTACCTCTCAGCCACTAATAAGAGTAAAAAAAAAATGTCAGTGACCATTATTTGTTTTTTGTAAAAATGAAATTTTTGTCTTTGCAAACAAGAGGCACATCTTCTTACATTTTGTTGTCTCTCACCGACTCTATGGTACGCCATTTAGACTTAAATATTGCTCAGTTGTTTACAATGTGTGCTCTATAAAAGTATGTTCATCCTCCCCCTCTGTCCCTGACAAGTCAAAACGGAGTTCTGTCAGGAGATTTTACCTCTAAGGTAACCCTGTGAAGTATGTTATCTGTAAAACAATGAAATAAATACTTCTCGTCAAATCAGACAAGCTTGACATCGTTCATTATGATGCGAGGGATAAAAATCGTATTGCAGTTTTGACAGATCTTCTGCAGCACATAGGTACAAAGAAGGATGCAAGTGAAGTCTGCAGTACTGTAAAGCTGTTTGGAATCTCCTGTAACATTTTCTTATCACATTATACTGTCTTTTTTTTGTCTGATGTTGCCAAAATGCTCACATAACCGAATCAAAATCCAAGACCTGACATGCAGTGCATCCTATCATCAAATATTGCCTATATTTTTCTTTAGCAGCTCATTTACATGACTCCTTTAAAAGCATCTGTACTTTTAGGAGACTTAAGATATAATATTTTATGATAGACAGACAGAATCAAGAGATACAGAGACATCTTAATGTTAGCTGAGTTTTCAGGGCATGTTTTTTCCACACAGTGGATCCTTGCTCCTGATTCTCAACCACAGCTTCAGAGCTGCTCCAAGCATGAAGTAACTGATTATCATAACAAAAGACGTATGAAGTGCGGCTCAGCTTTATGAACATTTAAAGAAGAGTACATTCCTCATTTTCTTACCCTTCATCCTCTGGAGCTAATCCAGAGCTTCTCAATTATATCATTCAGCGGCTACTTTAGCCATACAAAAAATAAAACATTTTGTCACTTATAAACAAATATTATTCATCACACATCCAAGATTGGACATGATATGTCAAATAGTTGTGTTTTCTAAGCAGCCCAACCTTGTTTATAATTATTTTTTTATGTTGTGTGATTTATCTTTTTGTATTTGATTTTATTGGCATGCTTAATGCTTTTGTTTTGGCTGGGGAATGGGGGGGTGGGGTGGGGCGGTGCGATGGGGTCCTCTGTTCTCGTGGTTTAGCTCATGAACTTTCAACATGTGTTTCTGTGCACCTGTTGTGCTTGACTTGCCTTGTTGCAAAGGGTTTTCAGCACATTAAAATAATATGTACTACAGTGCAGTCAAATAAGTTTCTTTTTTTTATTGTGGGGCTTATACCTAACTCATTTTTATAAACGTTTCTAGAAATATTATACAAATATTCAGAATTACTTAAGGCAAATCATATTTCTGTCCTGGCTTAAATATTAATTTAAGGTCTTCCGACTACTTCCATGGCCTTGGGTATATGATATTTTAGGTTTAAAAGGATGGATTCAGTACATTGATGCATAGACGGGATGCCACCTATATTCAGTTCAATTCAGTTATTTATATATTATATATTAACAACAAATGTAATCTCAAAGCATTTGACAGAGATAATTCAATCAGATCACACAGTTACACTGGTTCAAAGTTTCTGCCAAGGAAAACCAGTTGATTGCATCTGGATGAGTTGCGGCGATGATAACATTTAGTCGTCGACTCTACAGCCACCCTCACACCAAGCATGCATGAAGCAGCAGTGGAGAGGAAAAACTCAGTTTTAACAGGAAGAGACCTCCAGCCGAACCAGGCTCAGTGTGATAGCCATCTGTTGAGGCCGACTGGGGTTCAAGGAGACAGAAGTAGACATAAAAGGACGCAGAGATACAAAAGGTAACTGTCAACCAGCTCCACAGGTGGCTGTTTCTACGAAATAAACAATTAAGCAGATGAGCTCTAAACCAGTTTTTACATCAAAGGAAGAAACAGCACATTCAGTTAAAGAGTCAAACAGGAGCAGATCAGATGAAGCTATTATGATGAGAAAAAGCAGAGAACATGAAGTTATGCGTGGAACTAACAAATACTGCAGAATTGGAGAATAGAGATAGAATGAAGAAGAATGACAAAAAGCAGTCCCTGTGTCCTCCAGCAATCTAAATATACAAAGCATAAATATGGAAAATTGTTCAGGATAACCTGTTTAGATGAAGAATGAGTAAGGTAGAGCCAAAGAGAAATGTCTGTCTGGATCAGGCCATTCACTCTACCTCCTCCTCACCCAGTGAGGGAGCAAACAGTACTCTGTTTTTTATCTTTACATAATTTCAGCAACCAGCTTTGTTGGAGCAGAAAGTTGGTAGATTGTCTCTTCCTGTTCTAATGCACAAAGCAAACCCCATAAAGTCTTGTTAGGATGGTTTGATGTGGAAGCACCTGTCTGGCCTGCGCAGTCCTGACCTGAACCCCGTCTAACTACTCTGTGAAGAAGTAGAGCAGATACTTTGAGCCAGGCATTTTTGTTCATCCTTAGTGTCTGACCTCAAAAAAGCAAGCCTGAAAAACTGGTCAAAATTCCGATAAGAAAAATCCAAATCAACCTTTAAAAAGTTTCCAGTAGGAACTTAAGCTGTCACAGCTTTTGACATCATACTAAACCCCCGATTAGAAATAGGTTGTCACAAAAATGGGAGCTGTACGACGGCAGAGTAAATGTGTTCAGCAATGTTGTGTAGGTTCAGGCACTGCAACACTAAAATACATGAAAAGACAAAATAATGTTTGGAACTTGCTCTTCCGGAGGGGCTATACCATTTCTTTTTTTTTTTAAACTTGTATTGACCATCTGCATGAACATGTGGAATATGTTTTCCTTTTGTCCTTAAGCTGGTTAATAAAAGATGGTAAATGGACTGAATTTATAGAATAATCGCAGCAGTTAACACTTAAGTCATTCACCCAGTTGCACGCACAAACATGCAGACATTTGTACACAGAGGGAATCAACTCTACACCTTTGGATTGCAAGATGGCTTCTCTTAAACTGAGCGACAGTCACTCCAGACATTGTCTTGGGGTTGCCAAATCACAGTCTCTACGTGCACCCAAGGCTGAAACTGTGCAAAACATTTGGACATTTATATCATACTGTTTCCCTTTGGATGATACATGTGAAAACTACAGAGCAGGTAAAACATCCATGAATTAGACTGCTGAATAGCACGGTTTCTGCCCAGGCACCTAATAAACATCTTTCCTTTAATACAGCTAAACTGTTCCTGGCTTATGCTACTTATTTTCTTTATATAACTTTATCATATTAAAACAATACAAATAACGAATTTATTATACTAGGTCAATAAGTAGCTACGTAATGCTACAACAAAACAAGGAAGAAGGTGTTGATTAGCAGTGCAAAGAATTAATAGTTCTGACACATTTAAAAAAATATATATATATAATGGGGGGTGTCATTAATTGTGGCACTGTCGATTGTGTTACAGGACAATTATTTCTTGCAGGGGAAATTCTCAACACAAAAAAAAAGATTAATGGTTGGATTCTTCCAATTTTTTTTTCCAAGTGAGAGTTGGATACTGCAATAAAAGAAGAATTTATTCATTATTATTTATAGGTTTGCCAGAGCTGACAAAAAAATGCTGACAGTTCTGTTTCTCCTTTTAGTAGGTACATTGAAGTGTGCTCACAGAAATCAAATAAGAAACCCGTTTAATTTCCCATATTTATGATATTGAGAACCTGAGGAGGCTCCTGCTTTGCCGCCCTCATCAGCACTAAAAGCGACACAATGATAAGGAAAGATCATAAGAATTCAATATCTTATCTAGACTTTTCATGTCTCTATTTAATCCGGATTATTGTTCCTGCAGAATAAGTCAGAGTGGAGACAAGGCCAAAGCATTGAAAATCAAAAACATCACATCAAACCTATTTTGTAAATCTTTAAATAGACAGATTTTTTTGCATTAGGTTGTTAGTGAATAAAGATAATGCTTTACACAGGACATAGATGGTCATTTAGGTGCATCATCAATATGCACCATTTCAACTGAAGGTGAATGACTAATAGAAAAGTAAGGCTGTGTAAAAAATCAATAAAGTCAAGATGCTAAAATGTTCATGCTATCTACAATGTTTTACCTTTATATCAGGCAGTTACTCTGAATGCAAATGCTTCACATTTTATTGTGCATTCATGATGGGGGACCTTTAGCCTTACTACCTCTTTGATGATGTCTAGAGTTATCTGCTGCAGGTAAGATATGAACCAGAATCACTTGGAAGAACATTACCACCAGAATATTACACATCCCTTTAAGATCACAGAGATTGTTGGGTTTTTGTTTTTGTTTTTTCAATCATAAGCACAGGAAAAAAAAAAAACAGAAAAGCTTAATCATAATATTACAAAGAGTTTTATATCTTTAAAAAGAAAAAAGCTTCTAAAACATTTTCAGCAATTTACATCTACAACACAGTATGGCAGGTTGGAAATGTCATAAAAAAAAAAAACATTCAAATTATATATTGGGCTTATCTTTTTTAACTGCAAGGGTTTGTTTATATTAATTCCTGAATAAATGTTTTACTATGCATTTGTACCAAAAATAACAATCTGTTTTTGTTTAACTTATTTGTAAGCAGAAAATCAAACCTGAGCTACAATTAAAATTTTTAAATATTATATAGTTATTGGGATTTTTAAAAAACAGTTTACTATTGCAATAAAAATTGTTTTAATGCATTTAGGTCAAAACGTCAGTCTGTTTTTGCCATTGATATCTGTATAAACAACAGACAGAAAGAATGATAATAGCCTTTATTCAAATCAGACCTGTGACATTATTTGGCTGGACATCTGCATGTCTGACAGAATTACTTTCATACTAACTGAATATCTGTAATTGGCCAAACAACATGCAAGCGAGGGTGCAAGGGAGCAGTTGGCGGTAAAGTCTGCGGACGGTCACAGGCTTTGACTGCTGAGCGAGTGTGAAATGCCAAAGCCAGACTGCTCCCGTGCACCCTGAGGGCACCAGAGGAGCCAGCCTGCTCTCACCAGCAGAGAGAGAGAGAGGGCATCAAAAACAATCTGACAAGACTTCACCCCAAAAACATCTTCTGGCTCGTAAAGCATCGCTCAGCGCCACAGTGCTGGGGATGAGCCTGATTATTCCGGCTAGGACCCTGCAGCTCAGCAACTGAAACAAAAACATGAAGTGAAATCACTTGAACTGAGCGAGGAAGTGTTTCATCCTATTTTTGAGGGATTCGGTCACGCGGCGTAGTTTTAACACCTCCTTGTTCCCTTTGAGGTGGTGAGAATGTG